AGACACGGAGACACCTAAGAGACCTGAGAGACGCTGAGAGACTCCGACCACATACCCAAACAGAGAGATCGTGGTGAGACATGGAGATACAGAGATCGCGGTGAGACGCAGAGATATAGAGAGATCGCGGTGAGACGCGGAAAAGTGATGTATTGCGGTGAGACGCGGGACATCCGTAGTCGAGTTGCTACGGGAGATCGGAGGTGTCAGTGGAAACGGCAGATGACCGCCACCGTGTGAGGAGTTCTCAAATAGCAGAGGGGTGGAGATCACAACCCTGCATCTGACGTAACCATGGAGGAGGAAGCATCTATCCAGCTTCTCTCTAGTATTCTCTCTAAGACAGGTGTATCTTGCAATGTAAAAAAGATCAAATCCTTGGTGTACTGGGCTCAGAAGGAGGGTTTCTGAAGAGAATCCCTCTAATGTTTAGCCCAGATGAGTGGTGGCACGTAGCAGATCGCTTATGGGATAAAGCCATCTCAGATGGACAGCTAAATAAAGATGTAAGTGGGACATGGCACACAGTGATTAATGTGCTGTGCAGTATGAAAACCAAACGGCAGCTGGCTATGGTGGCAGCGCAAGCTTTGTCAGTACCATCTGGAACTGACAGAACATCAAGTACAAAACCTGAGACCTCAGGAACGCGGCTGACACGATCTTTTTCATCGGCATCCACCCCGGTTCGGGGTATGACCTCTCCATTAAAGCAGTCAGCGGCAGAAATAACTAAGGGACTATCGGAGCAGAGTGCTGATGGAGAGTGGGGGCTGCCCTCCCCACCCCCCACACCGGAAAATCTTGATAAAGCTGTGCTGCAAGCATCTGTGCTGCTGCCAGGCAGCAATAAATCCACTCAGGATGCTTCGCGAATGAGAGGTGCAGCAGCAGCTTGTGAAAATCGACCTTCACTGGAGGAGTTGTTCCAAGAATAGGAAGGGTAATAAAGAGAGAGTATGATCTGACCATACTAGTGTCTGTCATGTTTTCGGCCGTTCTTCCTGCAACAACCATGGACATAGTATACTCCAGCTGACCAGACTTAAAGGAAACACCCCTAGAAGATGCGGAGGATTGGTATATAGATGGCAGCAGCTTCGTCCACCAGGGAATTCGCCTCACAGGATATGTGGTAACAAATATCAGCCCAAAAGCCTGAAATCATCGCCTTGATAAGAGCTCTTGAGCTGGCAAAAAGGAAAAGAATTAACATTTAGACAGACTTGAAATATGCCTTTGGTGTGGTGCATGTACATGGGGCAATTTGGAAGGAGAGAGGACTCTTACCATACTCAATTAAACATGCAGAAGAGATACTGAAGTTACTCCAAGCGGTATACCTGCCTATTAAAATTGCCATTATGCACTGTAAAGGACATCAAACAGGATACTGATATTGGAAGAGGAAATAGATTGGCTGATGCAGGAGCCAAAGGGGTGGCAGAATGGGCATTGGAGAGTCAAATTTTGGCACTAGTACTAGGAACAGAAAACCAGGCATTAAAAGAAGCCTTACAAAATGAAGTAGAATATTCTAAGATCAATAAGCAATTAATTGAAGATGTAAATGGAAAATGTTACTTAAAGTTTTAGCAAAAATAAATGATGGGAGAATCATGGTACCATATTATATTAGATGACAATTGGAGAACATAATAAAACATGCTGGGGAGGTAAAATATGATATCAGTTTTTAAGTAGGAAATGGATAGGACCTAATTTGTACACCATTATCAGACAGGTATTTGAACAATGTGTCATATGTCTTAAAAATAACCCACAGACAGGAATCAAACCCTAAATGTGAACAGTAGAGAAGGGAAATGTTCCTGGGAAACAGTGGCAAATTGATTTTTTTCAAACTCCCAAGAAAAGGGAGGTTTAGATGCCTATTGGTAATAACAGACACCTTTTCCAGATGGCCAGAAGCATTCCCGTTTAGAACTAACAAAGGCAGAGAAGTGTCCAAAGTATTGTTGAATGAAATTATACCGAGATTTGGTGTACCCTCAGTAATGTCATCTGAAGGGAGTTATAAATGAAGATACAACTCAATCTGAATTTAGTAATATTTATAAAAGGCAAGTAAACAGCGCTGGGTGTGCGGGGAGTCTACACTCTACCAACACGCATGCACAACCGTCGAATTTTCTAAATATATATAGAACATCACTTTTACATATTCATAAGAAACCAGAGTATGCCTATACAGATGTACAATCAGAAAAAGTATCAACTGAAACATAAACATGGCAAAGTTTTCTGAATTCTAGCAAGTGTTTAACAAACAATCCTTTAAGACTATTACTATTAATGTCCGTGACTGAGGGAGCATAGTTGGAGTTGATAATCCTGGTTGAAGTGCTCCCATATCTTCCATGGCTTCATTAATTTTTCTCAGATCATACAACAGTCTCCATTTTCCATTCCTTTTCTTGATTACAAACACCAGAGAATTCCAGGGCTAGTCGTGGGAACAATATGTCGCACTTTAAGTTGTTAAGCAACTCTGTCTTCAGACCTTATGTATCCTATTCTTCCCAGATCAAAGAAAAACATGTCCATCTCCTTTTCAAGGCCAATAGGGCCTGGGTCAAAAGGCACATCCAGGTCACCAGGGAGCGGAACAGCAAAGGCCTGCGATGGCAGTAGCGGTGCGGGGGGTGATGGTGTAGCAGAAGGATAGGTAGACGAGTCCACAGCTCCCTCACTGTCTGGCAAACCACACCCTTCTGATTGTGGTCACACATGGCTCTTTAAGGCCTCAGAGACTGCTTGCCAGGTGCCGAGCAATCCCACTTGTGGGAATAGAAATGTTGTTTTTGCAGAGTTACATTGTTTAGAAAGAAGGAATGTGGTACTGAAATATGCCTACAGTGATATGAAAGCTTAAGCAGGTGACCTTATAAATGCAGACAACCAGACTCCTTAGGACAATTAGGTGAAAATCACGGTGTTAAGTCAAGTCAGATAAGTGAAGAAACATTACCACTTCAAACAGTAAAAATGGCAAATGGAAATTGAAATTTAACAGGCCGACAACTGAAGGCCATGCATTGTTTGTGAAGCATCAGATAGATTGTGAACCTGGATTACCCCACTAAGTGGGGAAACAGGGGAGGGTCCTGTCCTCAAAAAGTATATAAACTGTGTTTTGAAACTAGTAGATGCACTCTGTCCTGCTTGTGGAGAGCCTGCCATTGCAATCGCGAATAAATTACTACTTCACTGAGATCCTCGCCTGAGCCTAAGTTATTGGCTACAGAGTGTTTCTCACAATTTGGGGGCTCGTCCGGGATCCAGTCACCTACTGAGGAGCTCCACTGCCGCAGCAGCAGGAAGGCATGCCCTGTTGATTTCAGCAGTCCTGTGCATTGACGGTGGCGGTTCTGCGGAAAACTGACAGAGGGCCCGAGACTGGTTAAAGAGGCAGGATCCGTGAAGTAGTGGGGAAAGGAAGAAGGTAGGCACTCCGGGTTTTAAGAATCGATCCGGTAACTCTGTGCACAGACAGTAAGAAATATTAAGTATTGCCTTGGGGGTCATGTGAAGAGTCTCGGGAAATTTGGTGTATGGTAAGCCCTCGCACAGGGAAGTGCTGGCACTACACGAGGGAAATTTGGTGTATGGTAACCCTTGCACGGGAAAGTGCTGGGTAGTACACCAGGGAAATTTGGTGTACGGTAATCCTTGCATGGGGAAGTGCTTGGAAGTACACCAGGGAATCTGGTAAACTTATTGGCTTAAAGTTATTGGCTACGGAGTGTTTCTCACACACTGCCACCTTGTCGTTTTTAGTTGCAGAGTCCCACACCTTGACCTCAGTTTGGGCCCATGTTTCAGGATCATAAACTGTCTGATTGTTAATAAGGAGAATAAGCTATAAGGTTACCAGGACAGTCTGTGTTTCTAAGGACATACGACTCCCCATAATGCGCAACTTCGGCCAGCGAGGGGTAATTGTGCGTGTAGGTCAGCTTCTCTCAGCTTGAGCTTCTTTCCAGCTCTAGTGTACCTATTTCCAGAGACTTTCTTCTTTGAGCGGTTTGCTGAGCTTGGCCGAACCTATCTTCATGAGGCGATCAATGTCCCTGTTCCTGTCCTGGTCCCTGTTCTGCTAGTCTGTCCCTATTCATTTCTTTTTTTTTTCTACTTCTTTATTGATGACGTAACTTCATTATATCGAGTTGCCTTTTTTTTTTTTTTAACTTGAGGACAGGTTCCCCTCTTATACCCTTCTCCCCACAGCAGTTCTTTTCAAAAACAACTTTTCATTGGTCAAACAACTTTGCCTGGCAACCAGCAAACACCCAGCAACTTCCATGCCTTAAGGGCTGTAGAACAAGCAACCCAAGACTGCATGGAGTCTCCTGAATCACCCTTCTCTGTTCCCTCTAAACTCTTTTACATTCCTGATGGCCTCATCGTTAAGAGTGATGTTACCATCAACCACTGGGCTTTTCTGACCCCCATGGCCACACTCCCACATCTCCCCCTTCTTTATTAATATCAACCATCTTCTTGACACAAATTATTACTCCATATGTTACCTATTAATGTAAAAGTTTATGCATCGCATCCTAAAATCTAGGGTCCATGAATAAAGGCTAATTGTATTTTCTAAGTCAAACAAGCTATAGAGAAGTGGGAACAGCGTGTGGATGGTGTTCAAGTGTTACTGTTTAATATATCACTCTAGGCAAATAACGCAAAAAAGTCTATATACTCAGGACTGTTTACATATGAATAAATAGGGAAAATTAGCAAATACAGTATTTAAAATTATTTACAAATATGTGTTTTACCAGGTATTCACTGTTTGTATCAAGTTTTAATGCAGAAAGTTGAGGACGATACCAAAGCGTATGAAAGAAAAACTATTTAAATAAAGATGTTTTAAAATTCTCCTTAGAAAACAAACAACTGAACTGAAACAAAGCCTAAAGCCAATAGGTGGCCTTACCAGCAAACATCTTCAATCAAAAGGCCATAACAGCTATGTTTTAATCATTACTTGATTTATTTTACACCATGAGGTAAAAGCAACACATTTCCTTTTAGTAAAGTATACACAAATAGCCTCACTCAGAATACACTTTAAATGCACATAAAAAAAAAAAAAAAGTATTCATCTTACAAATTGTTTTACAAACCAAATATACAATAGCTTTGAAAACACTATTTTAGAAAACAAAATCCAATGTAAAAAGACTGCTTAAAACAACTGAAATGATAAAGATTTCTGTATGGCTATCTTTAAAGTTTTCTTACTGCATCGTCAATATCAGAAATCTGTTCCTTCAGCTGGTTCCACTGTTCTGGATTTAAAGAAATACCTGAAATGTATTAGAAACAAACACTTAGTACAAAAAGAAAATTGTAATTCAGGATCTTGCATATTTACAACCAAGACTGATTTCATACACAAAGACTGTCACAACTATTAATGTTTGAGCTACATCAAGTGTAATAAGTCTCAGCTGCAGAGTTAAACTACTCAGAACACTTCAGTTTAGACCTTTAGCCCATCTCTGGACAGGTTTACCTTAAAAAGAAAATGGGTACAATACAACATCCATTCACAAGTGTTTTGCTAAACGCAGGAAGAGAAAGAGCTCTTGCCCTGATAGGGGGCAGCACAAAATGAGGTGAGATGTAGGAAACCAATTCTATTTCAGTTGGCTGCTAAAAGCCAAATACCTCTGTGGACTGAACTAAGTATTTTTGATATACTATAATTCTGTCTTGTTTTCTTTTCTTGTGAAAACCTGTGGAATTCTTTCTTAAAGCACTGTGAATAACGTATGCTATAAGTAATATTTTAGAGAAGCTTTATTCTATTCCCTAGCACTCAAACCAACATGGAATATCACTACAGATTCTTGTGACATTCAATCAACCACTCAGTACCCCACAACTCATCTCCTCAGTTCTGAATTTTTACTTCCTCAAGCTCCAGTCCAGGCACACATTTCCATTGTGTATTAGCCTCCTCCTTCTTCCCCTACTAATCTCTATGCCAACTCTATGTAAGTAGAGGCTCATAGGCCTACCTCTCACCCTCTCCAGCCAGGCTCTTCTACTATTTACCCCCTTTCTCCCCCCCTCAGTGATCAGGCTTCTTTCATTGCTTTCTCCCTGTAGGTGGAGCAGGACCTGAAAACAGGTAAAACTATGAATTCCACTTTTGGGGCTCATCACCCCCCCCCCCCCCCTTCTACTACTAGTGCTTTATCAGAGTACTGTTATTTTGAGCAGCAAGAAGTCTGCACTGTTACTTTTTCTAACTAGTTCTCCCACTAGTCTTTAGGTGGAAGATGTGTTTTGAAAACAGTTTGGTCAGGCATGCTAACCATTATTGGGGGACCAAATGTCATCAAGTTGCCCCTGAACAACATACAATATGAACTGTATGCAGGCATGAAGTTTAGAACTGCTATATGAAATAAAGGTATATTGTCATACATAAAGGTATATTGTCATGGTATATGACAAAGCAGTTCCTAACTGTTGGTTTTTTTTTCCCTTGTTTATTATAAAATTTCAACTGTTTATACTGTTTGTAGGATAGCTACGTAAGCAGCTTGTAAGCGCATCACTGGAACATTAAACACTCATGCTATCAGATTATTAACTTTATCCTAATAAAATCCAGTCCTGTTTCCCACAATGATAAACATTTCTATCTACATCATGTAGATCATCACTTTGCCTGCCCATCAAGTTTTGTTGTTGCTTCCCACTCAAGCTTTTGATTGATGTGATACACTAGTCTTTAAACACCAGAGTCATGATTTTTGTTAGACAGCAGCAACACATCCAAGAAAGAATTTTTCCTGTAAGGTACCCATAATACCCTGCTCATGCAAACCTATTATCAGTTGTTATCTATGAGATGTTGAAAATTCTGAAGCTTTCCAAACGTCTATTCACTGCGCTGCTCCCAGATACATCACAAAAATATAAATGCCTTTAATCTTCAGAACAGAATGTTTCACACTTACCTCTTTCCTTTACATAATATGAAAAATGAGTGAAGTAAGCTTTTCTAAAGAAGCAACATGACATTAAGGAAAGCACTACTGCAACTATCAACTCATCCTCATCTTGCAGGTGGCCAAAGTTCCACAAACAGTTCAGTGAAAGGATGACATAAAATTAAGCATGGGAGTAGAAATTAAAGGTGTAAAGGCTTATGCTGTGTTCCAGATTAGACAGACACAAAGTACCAAAGCTCAAGCACTTCAAGTGTTTTCACGTCAGCTAAAATCTTGATCCCCCCACCCAAAAAATTAGTCATATGGAACGTTTCTATTATTTTAATCTGAAATTTGATAAAAATGAAGAACACAATTGTTTTAAATTATTTAACATCTTATTCCAACTAAACCCAAACCTTTTCAGACAAATTAGAAATAAGAAAATCTGACCTCTGTTAGAGGCAAGAAATTGAGTTAATTAAGAGGAGAAAAAGTATGGTTACATTCATAGCTCCCACAATAAATTTGCTTGTATCTGATGCCTTGTTTCTCTAAATTATGCAGGATCCATTTAGAAAAAACAGACTCAGGCCAACAAAAACACTTCTCTTTTGTTTATAATGTACAGATACAGAACAATACCTTTTCTGCCCGGCTTCATTTCACCTTCTTGATCCATCCAGTACTCTCTAATATCAATTAAGACTTTCCCTTTAAAGTCACGAACACTGACATACCTCATTTTACCAATCTGTCAAAAACACATAGAAGGATCTATTAGGTTTTTCACATATTAGAGCATTCACTTTTCCAAACAGTATTAGACTCAGACATATGACATTACCCACTGCAGCTTATTTTAGACTAATAGTTAATGACAATATAAACGAAGGACTTAAAAAACAGTTGAACATTCAATACATTTCTGCAAATGGGGCTCCTTCTAGAATAAAAATACCTATGTTCTTACCAAGTTGAATTCCTACAAAAGCCACTAATTTCATAGAATACCCCGAGTTGGAAGGGACCCATAAGGGACCACTCGTTGGCATGTTATGCAACTATTACACACCTGTTTAGCTACGGTATACATGCCTACACATATATATTTTCTTACTCCCCAGTGGCTTCCTTAATGTAGAACAGCTAAAATTTCCCTCGTTATTTATTTACCATTTCTCTCCCATCACGGAGAATCCACCGTCTTTTGGACTCCTTTGCTCCTAATTCCCTAAAGGCTTCTATTTCTTTTTCACTGAATATTTGCTTTTCAGGTGGAAGTTTTATTTCAGGTACAAGAAGCAGCTTTGCTTCTACTTCTAATTGCAAAGCTGATTCTTTAGCCTTTTCATCTGCAATTCTGTTTCCCCATTCAACTAGGGAGTTTCCTTTTTGATGTCCTTTCACATGCACCACAGCAATCTCTTCTGGTAGTAACAGATTTTCCAAAATCTGTCAAATTAATTCTTCATGGACCAATTCCTTTCCCTTGCTGTTTACTAAACCCCTTTCTTCTCAAATTTTTCCAAATGTATGTACCACCCCACATGCATATCGCGAATCTGTATATATAGTTCCCTGTTTCCCTTGTAACAACTTTAATGCTTGATTTAATGCATATAATTCACAAGTTTGAGCTGACCAATTACTAGGCAGTTTTCCCATTTCTTCGACATTCCCATTTGTTCCTTCAATAATGGCATAACCGTTACATCTCCTTCCTTGTACCACCCTAGAAGATCCATCTATAAACAATATTTACCCTTCTTCTAAGGGCACCTCTTGTAAATCTGATCTTATCTTTGTCTGGTGATTTATTGGATCTTCAATTCCCTTTGACAAGAAGGAGGCGGGATTCAAAACAGGTTCTGTAGTTATAGTTAAATCATCCTTTTCAATTAGTATAGCTTCAGATTTTAGTATTCTGGAGTCTGTCAGCCACCTTCCTGCTTTCTGAGTGACAATAGTCTTCACTTGGTGAGGGGTAACAACAATCAGTTGTCCTCCAAAGGTCAATTTCCTGCTCTCTTCTACTAATAAGGCAGTTGCTGCTACTGCCTGAATGCATTCTGGCCATCCCCAGGACACGGGGTCTAATAATTTAGACAAATACGCTACAGGTTTCTTCTTATCTCCCCATTCTTGGGTTAACACCCCCAAAGCAGCACCCTCACTTACAGTTATAAAAAGATAAAATGATTTCTTTAGGGCAGGAAAAGCTAAGACTGGTGCCGTGATAAGGTCTTTTTTAATTTTTCCATTACTTTTTTCCTCTTTAGTCCAGTTCAGTATATTGGGTTCTTCCTACAATAATTTGAGATATAATTTCTTTGTTTTCTGCACATATGCTTCTATCCACAGTCTGCAATATCCAATTAAACCCAAAAATTTTCTCAACTCCTTCTTTGTTCTAGGGAGAGGAAGTTGCACAATTCCCTGAATCCTTTCAGGGTTTACTCTCTGTCTGCCTTCAGAGATTAAATGTCCCAAATACCTAACCTCTTTTTTTACATACTGTAATTTATCTTTAGATGCCCTTAGCCCATGTTCTCCTAAAAAAAAATCAGGAGTTTGTGGCTTCTTTTACCTCTGATCTTTCTACCCCAGATATCAATAAATCATCTACATACTGTAACAATGTCATCCCTTCTGGAATCTGAAACGTTTCTAAAATCTTTTACAATTCTTGTCCAAGCAAACTGGAGGATTCAGTGAATCCTTGAGGCAAAACAGTCCATTTATATTGTTGTTTACAGCCTATTTCCGGGTCTTCCCATTCAAATTAAAAAATATCCTGACTTTCAGGATCCAGTGGGCATGCCCAAAAGGCATCCTTTAAATCTATAACACTGAACCATTTGTGCTCATAAGGGATTTTACTCATCAGGGTATAAGGGTTAGGAACCACAGGGTGGCGCTTTCGTGTTATCTCCTTAAATTTTCTCCAGTCTTGTACTAATCGGTACAAACCACCTGGCTTTCGTACTGGTAAAATTGGAGTGTTATATGGTGACATACAAGGCTCCAAAAGACCATCTCTAACTAAAGGTTGCACTATAGGTTTCAGGCCCATTTTTCCTTCACAAGAGATAGGATACTGCCGTTTTCTAACTATTCAGCTCCCTTCTTGAACAGTTATCTTTAAGGGAGTTATATTACAGAATTTCTAGGTTGGAAGAGACCTCAAGATCATCGAGTCCAAAGCCCTCCTCGATTTCCTTCCCTTACCCATACCATGGGATTTATTTCTTCTTCATCATTTTCTGTTAATAATTTCATTGAGACTGTTATTCCTTTTTCGCAGGTCTTCAATTGTAATCCTAATTTGACTATTAAATCTCTCCCTAATAAACTGGTCCCCGCTTCAGGTACATATAACAATTGCCCAGTGACAGTTTTAGCTCCCCAGTATAATTGAGTAGTTTCAAAAAGTGACACCACCATACCAAATCCTTCTACCCCTGTACTCTTAAAGTATTACTAGTCAAATTGAGTCCTGATATTTTATAAGCTAAAGACGATCTGGCTGCTCCTGTATCTACTAAGAATACAGCCTCTTCTTTATTAGGTCCCATCTCTAAATTTATCAAGGGCTCTCAGTGGGACCACTGTCCAGAGAACCCCTGACCTCCCTATTAAGAGTTTATGATAGTAAACAATCTCCCTTCCCTTTTCAATTCAGGGCATTCTCATTTAAAATGACCTATTTGCCCACATTTAAAACATCCTTTCTGTACCTGTCTCTGTCCTGGCTGTGGAGGAAGTGGCCACTGATTTTACATTCCCATTCTCTTTTTCTTCTTCATTCCACCCTTGTCTTTCTTAAAAAATCTTTTCCCATTGGTTCCCCCTTCTATCCCACCACTTGATTCACCATGGAGATCATCATTTTCGCCTTTTGTTTCTGTTTCTCATCTTCCCTTCTAACATACACTTTCTGGGCTTCCCTCAATTTTTTTTTTCTAACGGCTGTTCAGTTAATTCCACCCCTCCCATTTCTGAAGTTCACTTTCTATGTCCAGCCACACTTTCATCACAAAATTAATCTTCAAGAGCCCCTGAGCTATGGGGTCGTCAGGATTCATTCCTGAATACTTTCGCATCCTGTCCCTGAGCCTTTCCAAGAAACCACTTCACACAGTCCCCACTACACCATATCCCTAAGCTCTACATCTAAACGTCTTTTAAAGACTTCCAGGGATGGTGACTCCACCACTTCCCTGGACAGCCTGTTCCAATGTCTAACAACCCTTTCGGTAAAGAAGTTCTTCCTAACATCCAGCCTAAAACTCCCCTGGCGCAACTTAAGCCCATTCCCCCTCTTCGAGTTTCATCTTTACTCTGCTGAACCTCAAAGGCTTTAATAAAATTCTGAAACTTAGGTACTGCCTCTCTAATTCCTCTAATTACCATTTCTCTCAAGTTTCTCATGTTAACCCTATCCTGCACATTATTGTTGTCCCAATTAGGGTCCACATTTGGAAATTTTTGCTCTGCTGGAATCACTCCATCTCCTGGAGGATGATCCTTTTCCCATTCCTGCATTGCTGCTCTTCTAATCATTCCTCGTTCTTCCCCTGAGAATAGCAGATTCAGAATTGCCATAATTTCTCCCCAGCAATATAGGTTGGGTCCCAAAAACTGATCTAACTGTTCTGCTAATCCAATGGGGTCCTCAATCAGAGATTTCATTTCCTTTTTAAAATTTTGCACTTCTCCGCTAGAAAGGGGGGCAAATACATATCCTATCTGTCCAGATCCCAGCAGCACTTCACAGAAAGGATACATAGCAGCTTCAGTAGATTTAGTAGTATTAGTACCAGGGAGTGGAAAATTCTCAAGGTCTTTTTTACGTGGTTCCAATTCTTTTACAAGTCTGCAGTACCTCCTGTTCCCAGGGCTAATGTTACTTACAGTTCCTGTCTCTTCCCTCAGAGAAACTGCTACAGCAGCCACTGCTGCAGCTTGGGGGTTATAAGGAAGAGGTAAGTTATCCAGAAGGTCCCATTTATCATTTGTCTCTTCCTCTTTCTTTCCCTCTTTATTCTGATTTTTACTCACATCCAAATTTGTTCTTTTTATCCAACAAGCTGCATACTCCGATTCTTCTTCCAAAAATGGGAATTTGTTATTAACTGTGTTGGGTCTGTCTGAGCTGGAGTCACCTTTTCCCTGCAGCAGCCCACACAGTGCTGTGCTCTGCACTCGTAGCTGGAATGGCACTGATATCACTCCAGTGTTGTGTCTATTGCTGCGTAGTGCTGGCACAGCATCAGGACTCCTTCCAAGACCCCAAGAGCCAGCAGGCTGGGGGTGGGCAAGAGATGGGGAGGGGACATCGCCGGGGCAGCTGACCTAAACCAACCAAAAGGATATCCCATAACAACTGATGTCACACTCAGCAATAAAAAGGGGGGTTCTCATGGGGGAGGGGGCTGTTCCTCCTGAACAACCACTACGCGTTTTGAGGCCCTGCTTCCCAGGACGTGGCCGAACATCGCTCACTGATGGGAAGTAGAGAATAATTTTTTTCCCCTCTCTCTGTGCTTCTGCGCAGACTTATTGTTTCTGTGGTTTCTTTTTTCCTCCCCATTCCCTTTTCCTTTAATTAAACCTTTCTCATCTCAAACCTCGAGTTCTCTGTGTTGTATTTTCTCCCCCTTCCTCTTTGAGGAGAGGGGGAGTGAGAGAGCGGTTGTGGAGCTCGGTTGCCCACCTGAGTAAAACCACCACATTAACATACAAATTTAA